ACAAAGATATTGTGTCCGCCAATAACTAAAAAATAAATATTTTTTTTTTAAAAAGGGGGCTGGGGATGTGGCTCAGCAGTTGAGTGCTCCTGGGTTCAATCCCCAGTACCAAAAACCACCAAAACCCAAAAATCTTCCTTTCTGCTTGAAAGGTCAAGTTTTGTCACTGGCAAAAAAAAAAAAATCATTTTCTTTGAAGTAACAGACTCAATTCATCCATTTTTGTGAAAATGCTGACCACAAACAAAGTTTTGAATAACTAGTTTGTCAGCTTTTTTTCCAAGTAAAAATGATGCTCCATGAAAGTGTCTAGTTGTTTGCAACTCATACAATCACTTTTTTAATTATTTTTTGTGGTGCTGGAGGTTGAATCCAGGGCCTCCTACATGCTAAGTTCTCTACCAGTTAACTGCATCCCCAGCCCTTTTTAAGAATTTTTGAGACAGCCTTAAATTTGAGATTCTCCTGCCTTAGCCTCCCAAGTTGTTGGGATTATACGTGTGTAACCACCATGACTGGCACACTTGAGGCAACTGTCCTACCCTGGTAAACAGAAATGTTTTATGTAGTACTTTCTACTGTCACAAAAAAATTATAAAGATGTATATGTTCAAGTGGTGGAATGTCCTTGATCTATATTAATGTATTCATTAGATTAATATTTTTATTGTATTGAGGGACATTCTTATGTAAAACTGGTTATCAAATTTTAAGTTTGTTTGCTTTTGGTGAATAACCTTGCAATATTGTGAAACTTATTTGATCTTTGTCCCTGTTTCTGGCATACAACTCCTAAAACTGAAGTGATGTCTTTGTATACTGATATGACTATTGATGGTAGACCCTTGGTAGCTTCAGTATGGGGACTAGTCATGGGAAACTCCAAGGTAGAACTAGAGGGTTGGGCCCTCGGCTGCATTTCTCAGTCACCAGGAACAGTAGATGAGCTGGAGGTTAAGCTGATCACCAAAGGCAAATTATTTAATCAATCTTGCCCATGTAATGAATTTCCATGAAGACTCCAAAAGGACAGGTTTCAGAGCTTCAGGATACCCAAATACCAGGGTAGTTCCTGGGAAGACACAAAAGCTTTGTCCCCCCTCCCCCATCCATCTCTTCATGACATTCATGCTTATCCTTTGTAATATCCTTTATAATAAAACAGTAAATGTGTTTACATGAGTTGTGAGTTAATCAAACCCAAGGAAAGCCAGTAAGTCAGAGACATAGGTAAAAAAAATCCAGGGATTGTTGTTATTATCTGAGGTGGGGTGGACTGCAGCCTTAGACACTGAAACCACCTTTGGAATCTGATACTAGCTCTAGGTAGACAGTTATCAGAATCGAATTGGAGGCCACTCAGCAGGTTTCTGCTACAGAACTGATTGCTTGAATTGTATGTGGGGAAGATACCCTGCCTACATTGTCTGTGTGGACTTTTACTTAATATTCTTACGAACCCATTTAGCAAATTCAGAGAAATCCCAGGCAGGGAATATAGCTTGGTGGTAGAGTACTTGCCTAGTAAGCTCAGAACCCTGGTTAATCCATAATGTCACAAAGGAAAAAAAATTCCATTATTTTTATTCCTGAGATATCTAAAATAATAAATTTATATGTAATAAGCTTTTATTGAATTCACAAAATCCAACTAATTCTCTATCTTATAGTAATCAGAAAAGGACCTCAAGATTTTGGTGCCACTTTTTGATCTACTATTATCAACGTGTAAATTGAACAAAACATGAATTGGAATAGTAAAGGAAGTGATGAAGTTGGGTTGGGGATATAGCTCAGTGGTTGTAGAATGCTTCTCAGCATGTTTGAGTCCCTGGGCTTGATCCCTAGCACCACAAAAAAGAAAAAAGGAAAAAAAAAGTGAACAAATTAGCCAGAGGTATAAATATTTAGTTCACTTGTAGGCCTCTGCATAGTACAAAAGAACGTCTATTGAATGTGATTTTGGCAATTTTCACTTTTGACAACTGATTTACCATTAGAAAATGACTTCTTCAGCACAGGTTTGTGACAGGTTTTACTTGTTAAGAAATGCAACTTCATATGTAGAATGATTAAATGTATTCATTCAGATCAACCAAAAAGACAAAAAGTGAACAAGGCGTATCTTTTCCTCATATATCATAATTAAATTTTTTAAAAAAAATCAAAATTTTAGAAAGGAATCACCATGAAGCATTACAAAGTTTGAAAAGAATCAATTGTATACTTTGGTGGAAGTTGATTCATATTTTATTTTCTAATTGCAGTTTGCATCTGATTTCTTTACAGTATTCCACATGATGGGAAAGGAAACCTCCAAACCAGCCAGTACTAATTAGTTGTCATGAATCTATAGTAAAAGGACATAAAAGGACTCACCAAAGACTTAAAAATGAAATATCACCAGAGCCATGAATATTGGTAACTATAAACTTTCTCTAAAGAAATATAGAGCAGTTGTTATTCTATAAAATATCAAGCAACTTTGAGTCTTTCATCTTTTAGTCTTATGCTGAATTAAATAAGGTTGGTAGCAATTACTTTAAATATCGTGTCCACATAAATATACAAATATATACTCTACATGTTCTTTCTATCATAGTAATCAAAGACTGCAAGCAAAAGATATGGTAGAGAACATAAAAGACATGCATCTTCTATCTTACACAGTCCTGGGTATCAAAGTGAAAAGAGGCAGACACTGCTCTCAGTGCATTACACATATAAAGATCTATGTTATTAATCCTCCCGACAATTCAGAGAGACAGGTACTATTCTCATCATCCCTATCTTACAGGTAAGGAGCCTGAAGCTAAGAGAAGCTGGAAAAGGCACCCATGGTTACCTGTGGTTCAGAGCAGTGGAGGTTTTAGGTACAGGCCACCTGATCCCAGGCCTTCTGTGCTTTTCTTCCTAGCACATTGCCTCACAAGGAATAAGCAGGTGGGTGGGCAAATTCCAATATACTCTCTGAATTGCTGTTTATTCTATACCTGAGAGTCTAATATCTCTTCACACTTATACTAAGAATTCGGATTTTGTTGTTTTCTGAATAGGAAGGAAAAAAAGGATGATAGTTTAAGGTAAACCCAAACAAAAAAAGTGGTATGAAAAAGATCATGGAAAGTTCATGGAAAAGTTAACAGAATAAATGAAACTTACCCTTACTAAGTAGGAAAAAGATAAACATACAGGTAACATAAAGAACCTCATTTTCATTCTGATACTTTAACTGTCAAGCCACAGCCAATACTGGATGTCGATATATCTGCACACAATATGAATCGAATAGAAATCTAGCTAGGTATTTTATTCAAAACATGCTTTTACCTATTTATTCAGAGTCACTCTGAAGTCAACAATGACAGCAGTTTATAGCTATTAAAGATGTTATTCAATATCATAAGTTAATGGTTATGTAAGATAGATGAAATTTAGTTTAATTACAAGCCAGACAGTTTTTCAGCCATGATTCCATAGATGCAATGAATAAATCAATGGCTGTTTTTCAATAAAATATAAAAATTGTCATCATGCATAGTGTACAGGCTCCTAAATAAGTGGTCTTTTTAAAAGCTGGATGTTCAAGAAAGATTCAACAAACAACTAAATCTTTGCACAACTTTTTACATGAATGCTTGGTTTGGTTATTCAGCCACTTTAGTAACATGATATGTATATACTCTTAACTGGAAGTAGAATAAACTGCATGAAAAATGAAACCTTCTCAAATTGATTAGTAATAACTATTATACCCTCTTAGCATTAAGAAGCATTATTCTTAGATTTTAAGCCTTTTATTTTTCTTTCTGGGCATTGCTTATAGCATTGTAATATGGGAATCAAAGAGTATAACCCCCCCCCAAAAAAAAACCAAGAGTTTTGAGGACCACTCACTCCCATGCCTTATTTGAAGTAAAATCAGATCAATAAAATTATAGTTTTCACATCATAGAATTCCTCCAAGTAGCACTGCATGAGATATAACCTTAGCTCAAATATTTAATCATTATCATTCCACATTTTTTCAGGAGGCAACAGCAATATACTGGGCTGTTACTACCCAAGCATGAAAAAATATACCATCAGTAAATACATGAATTGGGGACATAGCTGTAATTTTTAAAAACTCTTTAAAGAAATCATATTTGTTAGAGGATGTAAGTAGAAAGTAAACTAAATTTTTTGAGTTGTACTATCCCTACCAGGAACTATATTACAAATGCAGAGTTCAGTCTTGGTAAAATTACATGGAAGATCTAAGGTACAATATAAATTTAGCAAAACACTTTTAGGTATAGAAACCTAAATATCTCATATTTTGATTACTGATGAAGACAATCACTAAAACTCTCCAAGGCTGGTTTCTTATGAATACTAAAAATCAGCCCCTGGTCTCAGATGCATTCCACCCAGATAAATGTTCAGAAACTCCATAGAATAAGAAACATAAACCACAGTGAGGCACTCTATACTGTTCTAATAGTGTTTTATGGTACCTCAGATTTTAAATTCAGTTTTTACACTTAGGAAAGTAAATTATAATTGAGTGGGATTAGAGAAGCTCTGCTTGTTTTTTTTAAGCCATATGAAGGTTCATTACCATGTGTATTACTTTTCATCACTGAAAAAAAATCTTTGGAGACCAATGGAATAGAAGTTCAACAAGCAACATAAATAGATCTGTTTTAAAATGGTATTATGATTACAATGTGGCTAGTGAGGTTTGAAGAATTGACAATGAAAAACTAAAGGCATACCTACACTCCTAACACAAGCAAAGGAAACTTTCCACATAATAAAATACATCCTTAATACAAACCAAGATATAATATACTCTGCAGCATGATGTTTTCTTTATTATATTTTTTAGCTGTAGCTCTTCCATTCAGAAACTGGAGACCATGTTTTCATTAAGTTTGTGATTTTTCCTTCTTATTTCCCCAGGTTAGGGATAGGTTGAAAAGGCTTAAGTTGTACAAGTTGTTATGAATTTAAATCTTCATTTATATATTTTAAGTGTTAATAAAGCATTCAAAATGTAGCTTGTACATGACTTCTAAAAATAAAATAACACTTTTAACATAATCTTTCTGTTCTGCAAAAATATTCTACATACATATGATCAAAACAATCTTTTCCTGTTTAGGAAATTTCCTATGCACAGTAATGAGGGGGGGGGAACCTACCAATATTTCCAATGTTAAGATAGCTGGGTGCCACCTAGTGCTCAATTTCTGTAACTACCACCTTTACAAATTAAAATTTGCTATTACAACCCAGGTTCTAAAACTACATTTTAGAAATATTCCCCATCCCCCATGTTTAAGATGGCAAAATAAGATCATGAAAAGAATGCAGATATCAAAATTAGTGTAAAAGTAAATGCTACTTAAATATGAGAAAACAGGCGTATTGTTTTGACTTCAAATGCAGATTTCTGCCTCCAAAATTTTTAGGGAACATTTGGTAACTGGAATATACAGAAAAATTCTGTATAGTCAACAGGCTAGTCAAAAGTAGGGCTTAATTTTAATTCATAACAAGTACAAGGCAAATGGTTTATTCAAAACATCCATTTACTTACTGCAAGTGGTCAAAGTAGGAAAGGCAGTAATGTATTTTTTTTTTCTTTTTTCTTTTTTTAAATAGATGTGCTCTTCTATCCATAAGCTCCATTACATCAATAGCACAAAATGGGCTTAATGTTTCACTTAAGATAATTCAGCATTATCAGTTTTAAGGAAACAAATACCTTAGAAACAAATCAGTCTGCCTTAACAAATCACAATCATGCTAATGAAAATTTAATCTTCTTTTAGGGTTATGGCCAAAATCCAAACTGCAGGACAATCTTCCGAAAAATTGGAATGTAAAGTGTTGTGTTCAATTTAGATCTGAAAAGGAAAAGAACATCAGGTCAAAGAAAACAACAATTATCCTCAATTCTAGTCTGCTATCAGTCCCTTTTTATGCTCTCCTTTGTAATGTTTATGTTATACAGAATATTCTTAATAGAGTGTATCCTTCCTTTCTTTTGTGCTAGTGATCTGAGATTTTATATTGTGGGAGCATTATCTCTTTAAGAACTGGACAAGCATCTCCTAATTCTCCTCAATATGATTGTAGGAATATAGCTAGAACACCTCTAGAGAGATGTCTAGGAAAAAAGGTATTGTTCTCAGGCGATTCAGCAAACCCTTACAAAATGCTCAATAGAAATCAATTACCTTTAATAACCACTACCTGAGTCTGCTGGGCCCAGTTTTGAGAAGGTATGGGCACAGAATTAGAAATTCTTTTGAGAAAATCTTGCTTTGCTTAGATCCTCAACCTATCACTTCAGAGTGTGTGGCTTCACGCTCATGCATTTTCTCTGATTAAGTTCCTGAATTTTCTAAAGAGGCTTTCTATTTGAGCACAGCCATCAAAAATATTTGGATCAGTTCTTAATTCTTAACACATTGGCTACATGTCAAGTTCTTGTTACTTGAATATAACTGTTAATTCTACTGTCGTAACAGTTGTTAGAATCTTAGCTCAGGATCTCCAAAGTGAAGTACATTAAAAAATAATAAAACAATGTGTTTATTTTTCCCTTTCCCTTTTCTATTTGGGGGTATGCTTTAAAATGTACACAATGGTAGTTGTGTACACCGAGTTTAATTCTTGGTGTGAATATTCTGAATGATTTGGAGATACACTGAAATGTAAGATGGACTGAAAGATGAATTGAGATATATGATTAATCAAGTATCTACAGGTTCTGGATCCACTGATTTTAACCAACCACACAGAGGAAACGTTTCAAAAAATGTGTCTGTACTCAACATGTATACTTGTCATTAGTCCCTGAACAACACAGCATTACAAATATTTACTGAGCATTAACGTTCACACTGTATTAGGTATTAGTAATCTAGAGATGACTTAAATTTTTTGGGAGGACACACACAGGTTATATAAAATACTACACCTTTTCATAAGGGACTTAAATACCTGTAGATTTTTATATCCTTGCAGTGTGTGTGTTGTGTGTAGGTATGTGTCTATCTGCCTATCCTGAACTATGATCTGAGATGATTGTACAGAAGTGTTAACTGTAGAATCTTGGCAGTGGGTATCACTTGTGGAGCCTAAATCAGACGTCCCCAAGACTGGCCTTGGTATCTCTTAAAAGCTCTGGCAATTCTATTACAGAATCTTGGTCAGGAACAATTACTCTAGGTATTTTGAAATTATATATTTTAATCAAATCAAACATTAGTTTTGATTATGTACATAGATACTTTGGGAACCTTATTTCACATGTATAGGGGATTGAAAAGCACGACTTATGATTATGATTACAGTGTCTGGCATTCATATTGCCAAAGCAAACATTTTTAGGAAGAAATATTGAAAAGGGATGTTTAGAGTTCCCAAAATAAAAATAACAGTTTGGTTATTTTGTAAATAATTCTAAGGACTTTAATTCATGGACAAGATCCAAAATACACTCATCTAAGTGTTCCACATTCCCAAAATAAATGAAACTTAGTGCAAAGGGCTGGCTTTTCCACGCATAACTCATCAACAGAAACCAGAAAATGCAGAGTGCATCTACTTACATCATCAATGTCCTCATCATCATCTCCAATGTCATCAAACTGAATTTCATCATCATCTCCAGGACCGAATGTATCAGTTTCATTGATTTTAGCTGAAGACACAATAACAGATTGAAGTATACAAGGAGACTCTCATAAGTCAATGTTTAGTTTAATTTAATCAAAGTTTTCATCATAAGGAAAACCTTCCAAACTTCTACCTACCAACACTACTATACAGAACAAATTTCCTAGCAAAGTTATAGCTTTGTCAAGACAGAGTATTTATGTTATAATTTATCTTTTGTCCACAGGGGTATTTTTAGCAAGGCAGGCTCTAACTATACTAATTCTGAAGCTATTTACAACTTCCAGGTAGACTTCAAAAAATGTTTGAGCACATACTAACAACTCTATTTCTTTAAGGAAAGCTGGTTTGCATTGATGTTTGAGTCATCAACCAGAAAGATTTGCTCAAATCATGCTTAGGCCTACAACAATGACATGCTATTCTTACTTCCAGATATATTACCATTTTCTATGTCACAAAGGCTAAATAAATAATTTCAGTGGAATTTTCATGAGTACATAAGACTGTTTCTATAATAAAATATAATGGGTCAAAAAACAAAAATAACTGCTAAGCAAAAAAATGTAGGCTTACAAATTAGTATATAAAGTACATTTCCCCTGTGATAAGATTATGAAAGATTTAATTTTTTTAAGTTTTCTGCATAAAAAATGCATTACTTGCTGGGCATGATGGCTCACACTTGTAACCCTAGCAACTCAGGAATCTAAGGCAGGAGGATCACAAGTTCAAAGCTAGCCTCAGCAACTCAGCAAGAGCCTGTCTCAAAATAAAAAAGGGTTGGGAACATGGCTCAGTGTTTAAGTGCCTCTGGGTTTAATCCCTGGTTTGAAAAAAAAGGAGGGGGGAGCATTACTTTTGTATTTGGAAGGAGTGGAACTAAGAATATTAGTTCTAAAATTTTACAGGAGGCTGGGCGGTAGCTTAGAGGCAGAGTGCTTGCCTAGCATGCATGAGGCACTGGGTTCAATCCTCAGCACCACATAAAAATAAAATAAAATAAAGGCATTCTGACCATTTACAACTACAAGAAAAATTTAAAAATAAAAAAAGTCTTACAGGATGCAATGATACAGGGACATAATGGATTGAAAACTGATTATTTTTCTTGTGGTGCTGGGTATCCAGCCCATGGCCTTGCATATACTAGGTCAAGTGCTCTACTACTGAGCCCCACCTGCAACTCTCCTCCAAAGGAATTTTTAAAAAGTACTATAACAAAATTATTCCTTTCACTGGCATTATACAGAAGTTAAGGGCTTATAATAAAATGAACTTACTAAAACTGTATTTTAGCAGGAACAGAATTCAGTAATTTCTCTTTTATAGTATCTAGTATTATGACATAAGCAGACATTAAAAGTAACCAACTAAGCAGACAAAATCCACAAAATTCTACAAAAATTCCTCTACCTAAACACTGATAACCCAAACACCATATGACAAGTGGCATTACCATGCTCCGGAAGCTCGCCATAAGCCTTCAGACTTCTAGCTTCATCTGCATTGTATTTTAAAATTACATCAGCTTTGTTATCCTTAAATAGAAACAAGAATTTTAGAACTGATTACACATACAAAAATATTATGTTATTTTATAAATTATTTTTTGAATTGAATAACAACATCAAGTCTCACTGTTCTGTTATAAACCTTCTTTAAAGTTTTCTCCTACCTTTGAAAAACATCCTTGGGTTTAACCCAGAAGGAAGTAGGTTACGTGCATGACTAAATAATGAGCTTAGGAAAGATATTTACTGATCTTACTTTAAGAACAGAACTGTGAGCTGGGCTTGGTGGCACACGACTGTAATCCTAGTGGCTCAGGAGGCTAAGACTGGAGGATCACGAGTTCAAAGCCAGCCTCAACAACAGTGAAAAGCAAGTCAGTGAGACCCTGTCTCTAAACAAAATACAAAATAGGGCTGAGGATGTTGTTCAGTGGTCAAGTGCCTTGAGTTCAATCCCCACCCCCACCCCCCACCCCCGGTAAAAAGAACCAACCCCAGCCCCCTCTTTAGGTATTTCTGATACAAATACTGCCTTAAAGTTTACACTTTCCCATCTGAAATGAACGACTCAATTAAGGAAGAAAACTGATCACTTTAGCCCATTGGGATCTTGTTAAGGTGCATGATCTGATTAAAGAGGCTTGGGACTAGGGTCCAAGAATCTGCATTTCCAACAAGATCCCAAAAGACAGTGATGGTACTGATCTCTGGGCCACCCTTTAAGCAGCAGGGGTATAGAAGGATCATGGGAGATTGCCTAGTCAGAATGTTACTCCTGCAGAACTTTGGTGTCCTTTCTAATGGGGAATTAACTTTTCTTCCTACTTCTGGGGTTATTAAGATCAAAAGATGATGGATATTAAAATGGTTTATGAATTTAAAGCAGGCTTTCTCAACCAAGGCAATAATGATCATTATGAACAGGATAATTCTTCGTTGTGGGATGCTATCCCCCTGTGCCTTGTAGGATATTCAGCATCACCTCCAGCCTCTAACTATTATGCCAGTAACACTATCCACCTCTCACAGTTGTGACAATCAGAAAAGTCTCCAGGTACTGACAAATCTTGAGAAGGACAAAATCACCCAGAGTTGAGAACCCAATGATTTAAATAATTCTTTATTGGGACTATAAAAATACAGATACTATCAAATGGAGATGAGTTCTAAAAGGTAAAAGTCAAGTGGATCTCCCAGATCCATAAAGTTCAGACCATGAAGGGCAACTACCATTTTCTTCCCTAGGTACTCATCTACATTTAAAGCATATATTTATATCAATAGTGTGTACATTTTGTAATTACTCACGTGCCTGTTTTATTCTCATAACAGGCTATATGCCTTTTCTGGGATGGGCACCTGACTCACTATATCCCCTATAGTAATGGTTCACAGGTTTTTATTTAAGACTTATAAATTTTAAAAACTTGGGGAAAGAGGCTAAATGTAAGATTATATTTTTATTTCACCATCTAAGAATGATAAACTACCACGATATCACGATATATTATGGCTCATTCCAAAAAAGGGGAAAACTTTTTAAATATTAAAAAAGAGAGAAAACAGATCATTTAGCTTTTTAAAAAACTTTATGTATGTATTAACTCCACAGATGGGCATTTGGAAAACATAATCTCTGAGATCATCAAAATTTTACCTGGTAGTCTCGAAGACCAACCAATATGATGTCTGAGGTATTTATCCAAACCTACAAAAGAAAAAAATCATTGTACAACATATTTAAAATAAAAATGAAGAGACTGTGAACCACTCCAAGTGGTTATCTACTAGAGAATAGAAAATTATGTGGTTGGTTTTATTTTCTTCTGTCTTCCACCTACCCACATATACATAGCTCCCTTTAGTTTGGGAACAGAGGATTAATAGTACCAAATTTTAAAAAGTCACAAAATCAGAGCTGGGACTTTTTTTTTTTTGGTGCAAGAGATTAAACATAGGGACATGCTAAGCACAGCTCTACCACTGAGCTACGCCATCAGTCCCAATGTTATTTGCTTGGTAGAATGTCCCTCAATTTTCACTTGTTGGCTATTTCCTCAATGCTTCAGATTCAAGTTAAATATGCTGGGTAGGAATACAACATAGGCAATGTAAAATATTCTTTATAAACAATGGAATATACATAAAATTACCAGCAAGACACTGTCATTTGACTAACAGGTAAATTGCTAAGCCCATAAAAACTGCAGGTGTGTGTGGGGGTACGGGATATAGCTCAGAGTTAGAGTGTGCCCTGGGGTTGAGCCTTAGCACTTACCCCACCACAAAACTATAGAGGCATTCCCTCACCAATTTTACATTAGATTAAAACAAATCTCCACACCTACCTTTTTTCTCAATTTCCCTCTGATATGACATAACCTCTTTACACCATCGAAACACATTGCTTCTAATCGTCCATTTCCCAACATTTTGATTACTTGAGCATACTCTGGGGAGGTGGAAAAAAAGGAGGGTATGAAATACTGAACAATTTTTGATAAAAGTAACTTAAATACATGCAGTAAAAGTATAAATACAATGGAGGAGTTATAAATACCATGCTAGTTAATGGTAGAGCCAGAACCAAGACTCTGTAATGCCATTTTTATAATTTGTACCTATTAGACATGTTTTAATTATTCATTTTGAATAAGTAGACTGATTGCTGTCTTTATGACTGTATGCTCTATTTCTGGAGATCAAAGGTGGTTTATCCCCAAAATGAATATTATACATCATAAATCTCTCACATTCTTTTACTCTTTTCTCTTAGAGCCTTTAGAAGCAAAACTCAAGGAGAGTTCTTAAAGCCAGAAAGGTGTTTCCAAGTAAAACACCAATTTTTTTTGGTGGTATTGGGGAATGAACCCTGAAGTATTTTGACTCTGAGCTACTTCCCCAGCTCTGTTTAAATATTTTGAGATGGGGCTTGCTAAGTTCACCAAGCTGGCCTCCTGCCTCAGCCTCCCGAGTAGTTGGGATCACAGGTATTTGTCCAGCTAAAAATGCCAAATTTTTATTTATTTATTTTGAACTCAGGGGCACTTAACCACTGAGCCACATCCCCAGCCCTTTTTATTTCTGAGACAGGGTTTTACTAGTTGCCTAGGGTCTCACTAAATTGCTGAGGCTGGCTCTGAACTTATGTTCCTCCTGCCTTGGCCTCCTAGGCTGCTGAGATTCCAGATGTGTGCCAACATACCGTGCATGCAAAATGCCAGATTTTTAAATAGAATCTTTTCAAATGGGTACCCAGAAAGTTACCCCATTTCACTGCCAATAGAAAATACTCTGAGAAGATTACGTGACCCAAGGATGGTGGTAGTAGCACGTGGGACACAAGACTTCAGACACTTTAGGTTACCCATATAACTGATCCCCAAAGAGGATATACACCAACTTGTAAACATACTGAGAATACCTAAAAGGCTCAACCATGGGGCTGACATGTAGAAGTGAGTTATTCAGACTACAGTGAACCGCGTGCCTCAGGAAGACTGGTCCATTCAGAGGCAGTCTCTCTTTAAAGTAGGAAAAAAAACATGAAAAAAAAAAAGTATTGTCTGCCTAAATAAACACAACTGATAATAGAGGCAAAATTTACTGAAGCTAAGAAATGAAAGGTCTTGCCAGGCATGGTGGTGCATGACTGTAATCCCAGCAACTCGGGAGGCTAAAACAGGAGGATTGCAAATTCAAGGTCACCCCCAGCAACTCAGTGAGACTCTAAGCAACTTAGTGAGACCATGTCTCAAAATAAAAAAATAAAAGAGCTCGGGATCTAGATTAGTGGTAAAGACCCTAGGTTCAATCCTCAGTATACCCCCACCCTGAAAAAAATGATCTTTTAGCCAGAAAACATGTTTCATTTTTAGTCACTTATGTGTACAGCATGAATATATTTACCAAAAATTCTATAAAAAGGCTATCAAGAAAAGTTATTTGCTGGGCTGGGGTTGTGGCTCAGTGGTAGAGTGCTTGCCTAGCATGTGCAAGGCCCTGTTCGATCCTTAGCACCACATAAAAATAAATAAATATAATAAAGGTATTGTGTTCAACTACAACAACAACAACAAAAGTTATTTGCTGAAGTGCTGAAAATTGAGGCAATTGTTGATACTGGTATATAATCCTATTACTATTTAATTACCTGTGTGTGATACGTAGTTCTATTGCAGTTATATAAAACAATAGGCTTAGCTTTAGGAAACACATGATGAAGTAAGGGAAAATAAACATGTCTTCAACTAAATTTCAAATGGCCCAGGAAAAACCAAACTAAATCAAACCAAAACCATGCATGTCTTTTTTTTTCTTTTGTATCAGGGATTGAACCCAGAGCTCAACCACTGTGCCATATCCCCAGCAAATTCCCCGCCCATTTTTTAAAAAATACTTTTTTTAGTTGTAGTTGGACACAATACCTTCATTTTATTTATTTTTATGTGGAGCCAAGGATCGAACCCAGAGCCTCACACGTGAGTGCTCTACCCCAGCGCCCGCCCCCAGCCCTTTTTATATTTTATTTTGAGACAGGATCTCTCTAAGTTTCATAGGACCTTGCTTAATTTCTGAGGCTAATTTGAACTTGTGATCCACCTGCCTCTTCCTCCTGAGCTGCTGAGATTACAAGCTTGTGCCACTATGCCCGGTCTATGCATTTTTTAATACACACGCGTTGAAGGATTTAAGGGAGTTCATTATACTAATATCACAACTCTTCTTTAGGTTTGAAATTACTCAAAATAAAAATGTGGGAAAAAACACAAGTGATCTAGTCAGAAACTATGTTATATACCTTGGTTTGGCATTGACAAAAATCTTAACCAGTCTATAAAAGTCAATTGATTGTTTAGTTTTACCCTACTGTATTTTATGAAATCATAAGTTAATGGCACTGGAGAATGGAGAGGCCTATAATGACCTCAGATTCTTCCTTCAACTACACATGATCTTCTGAACATATCATGCAGCATCATTTACTGTCAAATATGTCCACTAAGCTGGTGCATGGTTGTAATCCCAGGTACCAAGGAGGCTGAGGTAGGAGGATCACTAGTTCAAGATAAGCCTCAGCAACACAGCAAGACCCTGTATCAAAAAAATTTTGGGGTGCTGGGGATATAGCTCAGTTGGTTGAGTGCTTGCCTTGTATGCACGAGGCCCTGGATTCAATCCCCAGCACCACAAAAAAAATTTTTTTTTGGTACTGAGGATTGAATCCAGGGGTGCGTAACCACTGAGCCACACCCCCAGCCCTTTTTAAAATATTTTATTTAGAGACAGGGTCTCTCTGAATTGCTAAGTGCCTTGCTAAATTGCTGAGGCTGGGTCTGAACTCACAATCCTACCTCAACCTCCCAAGCTGTTGGAATTATTGTGTACCATGGCACCCAGCAAAAATTTTTTAAAAAGAGTGGAACAGGAATATAGCTCAGTAGTAGAATACCCAAGTTCAATTCCCAGCCCTGGGGAAAAAAAATCCACTGAATCAAGAAATTGTCAACTACAGCTGTTCAAGAATTTGCAATTCGTTCTTCACACAGAAAAATACAGAAAAACATTTTAACTCTGGTTCTAGAAACAGTTCACCTGTGGATGGCCAGCCACCACCAGCACACCAACAGGAATGGACTATTTACAGGGCCATCACAGGGCTGTACCATGGCTGTGTTCTGGTCATCTTTAAGTCATAACTCAAGTGTTCACATAAGTCAAGGAAACTTGTGTATAAATCCTCAATGCAGACTGACACCAGGAAATATTATGGAAAGAAAGGCTCTAGAAGGGCAAGAAATGAGAAATGGAGAACAAAAAGGACAAGAGATTTACTGCTCAGGATTATGAATAGAATCCCCTTTAGAGATCTAATTCCATATTTAGGGAGGAAAAAATGTTACAAAAACAAGACTAACATATGAAACCACTTACCTTGCCCATCCTCTTTGAATACCAGCTCTCTTTTTTCAGACTCATTTTCATTCTTACCTCTGCGTCTATTTTTACCTCCTTTACCTAATCATTTTTTAAAAAGAAAAAAGACATAAATCATTTGCAAAACAGTATGAAAAGAAACATTAAAATAAGGCTTATAAATTATATTTTAAATCACTAAAGTGAAAAATTCACCTAATTTGAGTACTCTTAATCATATTTAATATTGTTAACATACCACCCTCCCCACTCTTCATGGATTTTTCTTTGGGGATTTTTCTGACCCAAAATACAAATAGCAAATATTATAAAGTCAGGAATCATGGTGCAAGCCTGTATTCTCGGACACTCTGGTAGCTGAGGTAGGAGGATCACAAGTTTGAGGCCAGCCTGGGCAGTTTAAGGAAACCCCCTATTAGGGATGCAGCTCAGTGCAGATTACTTGCCTAGTATGTGTGATGCCCTGGGTTCCATTCCCAGTGCTACCACCACCAAACACACACACAGAGAAATACACAGAAAAACATTTTAACTTAGCACACATCCTTTCCAAATAAAACCACAATTCCATACAAATTCCTTGTTTTTCATTTCTTTTAAATACAAACTTGGATCTTTGGGTGTGTTCTGCTAACAGAAAACAAAAGAATGAAAAATAAGAAAGAAGAAAAAATCTCACAAAAATATATAGAACGCCTCATGAATTCTCCCCATACACGTTCTTGTAGTAAAATCTTGAGTGCCTTTGGAAGGAATTAGATGTTTCTAAGATGAAGTGAAAAGAGTGTCTGGACAAAGAAATGTGGTTTTTCACTTTTGGTATATAGCAGAGTACTCAATCACTGAAATCTCCATTCAAAATTCAATTTACTCTCTTTTTTTGAATTTTTAATATTTATTTTATAGTTTTCAGCGGACACAACATCTTTGTTTGTATGTGGTGCTGAGGATCGAACCCGGGCTGCATGCATGCCAGGTGAGCGCGCTACCGCTTGAGCCACATCCCCAGCCCTCAATTTACTCTTTTACAAAGATGATCCTTAAATGATACCCTTGTTGTTTCTGTTATATATTCACAGGAACTATGCTCTTAACTACCATGCTATCTATTTTGTCATGATTATCTCTATGAGATAATTTATTCCCAGTTACCAATGAGTTCACTGAAACTCAGATAAGTTAAATAACTCACTTAAGATCACAGTCAGTTAGCAGGGTCACCCAGACTCCCCCGCTAATCCTTTTTTGCTTCTAGTTCTCAAATTAGGTACCTCTCTAAAGCATTTTGGTCTCTTTTCAGAAATCTAAACCACATACTGGGTCTTGATAAATTCTATAAGTGTCTTGTCTCTCTCCTTCCTGAAACCTCAAGAAAGGAGCATTTGTAGGAAATGATGAGGGGATGTGAAGTTATAGCTACTGAAATGAACACACTGATTTTGTTGTGATACAGCAAGAACAACTCCAGCAACTACAAGAGTTTGAATTTTATCTTATAAGATGCAGCTTAGACTGGATATTTGAAGTTAAAAAGGTGCTAACTGCCCCAACTTTGAAACAATGAAGATGTTCTTTATTTGGTTGGTGAATGGATAAACAAACTGTGGTACATCTATATAATAGAATATTAGTGATAAAAACAAAATAATTGTGAGGTCCTGAAGAGACATGGAGGAACCTTAAATGCTTACTGGTAAGTGAAGGAAGCCAACTTGTAAAGGCTATGTACTGTATGACTGTAACTATATATGACATCCTGAAAAAAGCAAAACTATGGAAACAGTAAAAAGATCAGTGGTTGCCAGGAGTTTGGGAGGGAGAGATGAATATATGGAGGAGATACTCAAGGCAGTGAAACTATTCTGTTTGATACTGTAATGGTGCATTCATATACCAACCCTAATGTAAACCATGGACTTTGGTTAATAATGTATCTCTACTGGCTTAGTAATTATAACAAAGGTACCATACTAATACACGATGTAAATAATGAAGAAAATGAGGGTGGGGGAGCGAGCAGAGAACAAATGGGAACTTTGTTATTTGTGTCTAGTTTTTCTGTAAACCTGAAGCTGCTCCAAAAAGCCTATTAACAACAACAACAAAAGCACCAAGGTACACAAAGATACAATCAACAAAATATGGACTGTGATGAGCAAATATATGATACATTATGAAAAAAATTTAAAAACCAGATCTTCATATTAAAAGATACTTAAAAGACCTGTCAGCCAGTCAACACACAGACCATATCTGGATCCTGACTTGGTGTGGATGATGCAAGATTAGCAACGAATTGGGGGTATCTGGAGTTAGGAGATGTTTATACAAAGGTTCATTATACTGTTTTACTTGAAATTTCATTTAAAAATAAGTGAAAAAGGAAGGTAGAAGAATGGTATAAAACTACCAGTGATATGAAAAAAAGAAATACATATTTGCTTATATATAAACTGTTCTCTGAAGGACACACAGAAAATGTAAATATATTTACTACTCAAATTTTTTAAATAAAAAATCCTTTTTATGGGGCTGGGATTGTGGTTCAATGGTAGAGTTCTCACCTTGCACTTGTGAGGCACTGGGTTCAATCCTCAGCACCACATATAAATAAATAAAATAAAGGTATATAAAAGATCCTTTTACAAAATGCAGAACAAACCTAGCTTAGAGCATATGAAGAGGAAAAACTAGTCAGAATAATATTTATGAGATGGAAATGAGAGCTGTGACCAGATGTGGAGGGGAAGAGAAGGGGGAGAGTAAAGGATGCCCAGGGCTTTCACACAAACCCCTTAGGGTCATCAATTCAAGACTTTGTAAAATGAGGGAGTAGAACAGAGTATCCAAATACCTCTGTTCTAAAATTCTCATTGGAGTCATTAAAAATTCTTAATTTCCCTCTCACCTATCATTTTTCTTCATACTTTAAATACAATTTCCCACCTTTTGAAGAAATCAATTTTCCTCTCACTTATCATCTTCATGCTAGTAATCTTACATCTCATCCCACTATTTCAATTTGGTATTATTCTCAGATTTCTAATGGCTCAGTACATCTCCAATGAATGGGCCTGTCATCAAACTCAATTGTATTCAAAGCTCAATTTACCTTCTTTCACAAAGCTTGTCCTTAATCAACATTGTTTCTGTTATATAACCTCAGCGACCATGCTCTTAACTACCATATAATAATGCAAGCCAGGAACTGGGGTTGTGGCTCGGTGGTAGAGTGCCTGCCTAACACATGTGAGGTGCTGGGTTCAATCCTCAGCACCACATGTAAATAAATAAAATAAAGGTACTGTGTCCACCTACAATTAAAAAAAATGTAACCCATTTACTCATCACTTCTGTACTTTAACAGTAAGTTCACTGAAGCTACCTCTCCACAGTAGTTTGTTCTTATCCCACAACCTAAACCACATTAGCAGTCATTTCCAAAAGGCAGGAGAAAGTGGTAGTGATACCAAGGGACTCATGGGAAGAGCTTGGAAACAGTAAAAATGTTCACAACCCAAATATAATCAAGAATGTGCGCCTGGCCACAAAGACACATATTTGACTTTCTAAAGCAGCACACTTATTCTCTCCTGAGCCAATGTCTGTCACCTTGCTCAATGCTTTTGTTAGGTGGGCCACTACAATTTCAAGTTTAGTATTTGAGGCATTTTTAGGGAGCAAGAAAACTAATTTCTTGGAAAAAGACAAGTACTTCAAACCATTATGCCAGCCAGATCTTCAAACTAGAGCACAAGTTCTATTAGGGCCAGGATCATTCCTACTCTGTTCACTGGTTATATATTTGAGCTTGGCAATTCCTTCAATGAAGCAGTTAAGAGTAGTCCAATATATTGCTAAGGAATGGTGATCTCAAAATCATAGGTAATAACCTCTCCAAAGAATTGGCTTTACAAGTACAGGAAATGACCTCAGTGGTTACTTCTAGAAAGAAAGGAAGAGAGTAAAAAGGGACCAGGGAGGGATGCACACAGGGCTTTGATTTGGTGTGTGTTGTAATTCTTAAATTCACAATAATGAATTCCCAGGTGTTCATTATACTTTTGTATCTCTCAAATGTTATTTATTTAAAAAAAAAGATTCATTACTTGTCAACTTATCAGCCATGTAATGGGACGCTCCTTAAACTCTCTTTTGAAAGAGTAAGACCAGGTCTGAGTGTATGACAAAGTAGCATAAAGTAGAATAAACATTCTAACTTTTTAATCTTACTTTCTAGAAAATAGTTAGATTCTAAACTAAATCAAATTCTCAAATTCCTTCTTTAAACCAAACAGAAGTGTTTTGGAGAAATTTCCAAATGGGCTCTTTCTTAAGCAAAACATGAGGCTAGTGAACTAGGTGTGACTTTAGTGTATAAGTCCTATTGGAACCAAAAGGGAACCTATAATTCACCAAAAGGTGCAATCAACAGAAGGGAAGTGACTTAGTCCAACAAATATTTATTGAGCATCTTCTAAGTGGCAAGTGCTGGCAATCTGATGTGATTAAGGCAGATGCTATTCCTGTCCTTTAGAACTTATAGTCTAGTGAGGGAAGTGGAAATTTCATCACTCAAAATAAAGATGTGAATAAGATACTTATCGAAGTGATCCAGTTAACATGTCAGAATAAAGAATTCTATAGATTAAAAATTACAAAACTAGGTGTGGTGGCATATGCCTGTAATCCCAGCTACTTTGGGAGGGTGAGGCAGGGGGTACACCAGTTTGAGGCCTGCCTGGGCAATATAGCAAGATCCTGTCTCAAAAAAAGAAAAGAAAGAAATGTTTTAAGACTTCTGAAGACTTATATATTTGTCCTCCCTTCTTTTTTGTAGCAAAAAATCTTGCTACAAAAAAGACCTGCAAGTTTTATTTCTGAGACCAGTAAGCTGTGTAGCAATTTGAAGGACTGAATCAAATAGTGAACAGAAGTGTGACCAAGTACCTTGAGAGTAATGAGTAGGGATAGCTACAAAACAGTTAAATAGAAAAGAGAACATAAGTAGACGTGGATCAGAGGAGAAGATCTTAAGATGAATACCAAAGAAGACTTATGGGCTGTGTAATATGCCCCTCTCCAGTGAAAAATACAAAGCTTTATCAATTTCTACTTGCACAATTTTCTTCAAGAAATTCTAAAGGTATTAAAAGTAAAAGAATGACTGTAAGTCTATAAAAAGGCGAATTTCCTTACTGAGTGTTCTGTTTTTACTTAGATTAAGCCTTCCATTTTAGAAACCCCAAATAAACTTATCCTCGGCTGATAATTTGCCAACGTTTAGCCCCGGAATGAGAGAATAAAGGTTTTTATTCCCATCTCAATATATACATGATCTGAAGCCAAGTCAGAAAACTTTGCTAAATATGGATGGAGTCTTTTGCGGGGGGGGGGGGAGTTAAACCTCATAAAGAAACGGAGCAAAGTAAATCTCTATAGATGAACCTTAAAAAAGCATCAAGGCATTACAGTTTATTAAGGACAGAGAGGAGCCTCAACAATACTGAACAACTGTCCATAAAGAAGCCCATGCAGAGTACCAGATGGGCACGAGAGCAGTCATCACTCTTAAAGTTCAGAACGGATCCCAGGGCTTAACTTTCCCTGCGGGGTAAGTCCACAGGGACCCAACTGCGAAGGCCAGGAGATTCCCAAGGGAAGTCCTGCGATAAGTCCCTGAAGCGCCGCGGTCAGTCTGGCGCGAACCAGGGGCAAGAGCCCACATTCTCCCACAGGAGGCCCTACAAAAATGGCGTCGGCTCCACCCCAATGTGACTAAACTGGGAAACAGGAGTAACTTCCTCGGCCCTCTCCAGAGCTCCAAGTCGCATGTGGAGCACCCAGGCACAGGCGGGCAGGGCAGGAAGGTCACTGCGGCCTGGGTTGACCTGGATGCAGCGGGCAGGGCCACGGAAATTGGGCCGAGTAAAGCCGTGGTCTCGGGGTCCGGGTGGCATTACCTTTATTCTTGGGCATGGCGGTGAAGGTGGACTCGCGGAGTCTCCGACTTCTTTCCGAGAGGGAACGGCGGAGGAGGGGACTCCTTCAGAGGGGCGCGATGGGAGACACGAAAGAGCGCACGCGGGACCAAGCAGGCTCTTGGAGGCCGAGTAGCGTGCGCCGGAGAGTCTGGAGACTGGGTTCTTCCGAGATCCGCTTGCGCCCACGCTCGACAGCAGCAAATGGCGTCGCGGCTGCTTGCGTCGCCTTTCCCCGCCTCCCGCCGCTGGCAGGGCCCACCCCTCCCCACCCGCCCTCCACCCCCGGCTCTAGGGCGCAGGCGTGGCCGACTAACCCTTATTGTTAGAGCCGAGGGAGCTGAGTTCTGGGAGGGTTCTGAGGCGCCTGAGAGCACGCAGGGGGCGGGACCGTGAGCCGGGAGGCGGTGGAGTCTGGGACTGGATGGCTGCGGCCCTGCGTCATAGTAAGGGGAGGATTGAGGTAGCGCCGGCTGCTGTCTGTGCCAACCGTCTGTTGGTTTGTAACAAACCCGGCGTCTCCCGGTTTGACAACTTGCTGACTCATTAACCTCACAGCTAGCTCAGTTTTAATGTGGTCCTTTCACCCGCCCAGCCAGGCTGGGAACCTGAGGGGAAGGGGAGACCTGTCTGTTATCCATTACCAAAGCATATTTACATGGCACTTGTTAATCCTTTTTAAATGTCTTCCCTGCCTCCTTGTTGCTTATCACTACCAGCACTTAACAGATCGGCACACAGTGGGTGCTCAATACACATTGGAAAAAAGAAAGGAAGGAAAGACAAGTTAGGTGTTAGGGGATGAATTATGTCCCTCTAAAGTTTTTTTTGTTTTGTTTTGTTTTTGCACCAGATATGCAACCCAGGGGTGTTTAACCACTGAGCTACATACGTATCCCTTTTTAAATTTTTTATTTTATTTTATTTTATTTTGAGACAGGGTCTAAGTTGCTTAGGGTGTCACTAAATTGCTGAGCCTGGCTTCAAATTTGCAGTTCTTAGGCCTCAGCCTCTTGAGTCATTGGGATTACACAAGTGTGTGCCACCACTCCTGGCTGGAAGTCCAAATGTTTAAAAATGGAAAGTCTCTGTCAAGCTGGGAATGTGGCCGAGTGCTCCACTAGTATGTGTGAGGCCCTGGGTTTGATCCCCAGCAACACACACGACACAGACACAAACACACGCACAAAATCTCTGTCAATTGCCTGATATAAAACCTCGAAGGACAAAATAAACATCAGGGTTCATTTCCCTATGATAGATAGCATGATTCCCATGTATGACTGTTCATCAGAATGACTGGGAAAGAGGTGAATCATGTGAACATCTGGGGGAAATATGTTGCAAGAGCAAAGCCTCTGTATAGAAGCATGTTTGGTATATTCAAGGAATAGTAAGAAGGAGCTGGGCATGGCTGTATGTACCTGTAGTTCCAGCTCCTGGAGAGGCTGAGGTGGGAGGCTGAGCCTATGATTTCAAGACCAGCATGGGTAAAATTGAGAGAACCTGTCTCATTTTTTTTTTTAATTAAGAAGTAGCAAGAAGTCCAGTATGGGAAGAATGCAACAGGCCAAGGGAAGAGTTTGGGGAGATAAGATCAAGATTATAGAGGTAAGGAGACCAGATCTTTGAAATCCATAGGCAGTTTTAAACAGATTATTTTGACTTCTTTTAAGAATATGGGGGCTGGGGACATAACTGAGTTGGTAGAATGCTTGCCTTGAATACACAAGGCCCTGGGTTCAATTCCCAGTACCCCCCCACACACACACACACAAAGAACAGACTGTAGGGGGCAAACACTAACAGAGATCATACCAGATGCTACTGCAGTTATCCAAGGAAAAGATAATGGTAGCTTAGAATAGAGTATAAGGTTTTTTGGGGGGATAATGAGAATGATAATTGCTGCATGTCTCTATACTAAAACCCACTGAATTGTACACTGTAAATTGGACTTTGTGGCTTATGAATTGTATCTCAATAAAAGTGTTCAGAAAAAGAAATGGGAGAATGGATCTGACCATGGAAAAATAAAAGAATTGACAAATACTACTGGGGAGTTAGCTGAGATTAGAAAATATTAGATTGCAGTGGTATCAGCTTGCATAATTGTATGGTTTCTTCCAACATACAGTGTCCAGAAGTGTATACACAGCATAAACCAAAACAATCCAAAATTGGAGTTTTGTTCAATGGCTGCAGTATAAAGGCAAAAAGGTTAGGAAGTTCAGAGTGCTTCTGAGAGAAAAGTTCAGATGATCAATTATGAGGCCATGAGGTTCAGTCTGAGTGGTAAAGGAAATAGAGTGGATGAAATTTAAATTTTTAATAAGATTAACTATGCTTTTGAAGATCTGGCCTCTGCCTACCTCTTAAGCCTCAAGTCTTCTTATATTTTAAGCTCTACATATACAAAACATTTTGTTTTCTCAAGAACCTCCAATCTGTCTGAATCTCCATACATTTTGTTCTCCTCTTCACCTTTCCTCTTTTAGGCCTCAGCTTAATCAGTTTCCTTGGAATGTCTATCCTAATTCCTAGGCAGCCTGTATATATATATTTTAAAGCATCATCCTACACTTCCTTTACCTATATTTTTTAGTGTCAATTCTATCAATCCAAGGTACATTAACACAAAACTGCAGAAAGCATGACCATGACAAATACTCCTACTCCAGGTCAGCTTGAGGAGTCAGGAATTTCTCTAGATAATCATGGCAAGTAGCATAGTAAACTCTAAAGATATCCATGTCTAAATCCCTAGAAACTGTGTATATTATCTCACACGGTGAAAGGGAATTTAGGTTGCAAAAGCAATGAAGGTTGCTAATCAGTTGACCATGAGATGGAGTGATTATCCTAGATCATCTCCATAGATCAGATCTAATCACACAAATGCTAAGTGAAACAGGCAGAAGAAAGAGGTCAGAGAGATAGATGCATACGAAGAGGACCAGACTGCTATTGCTGTATTTTTTATTGTTTGTTTGTTTTTTTGCAGTGCTGGGGATGGAACCCAGGGCCTCCAGAGTGCTAGGCAGGCACTCTTAATACTGAGCTGCCCCTGCAGCCCCAGGCATGCTGCTGCTTTTGAAGATGGAGGAAGGGTTCCATGAGTCAAGCGATACAAGTGGTCTTTAGAAACTGGGAAAGGCTAGGAAACACTTCTAACCAAGAACCTCCTGAAAGACGTACAACCTAGGGCTGGAATTGTGGCTCAGCGGCGGAGCACATGCTTAGCACGTGCAAGACCCTGGGTTCGATCCTCAGCACCACATAAAAATAAATAAAGGTATAAAAAAAATAAGAAGTACAGCCTAGCTTGAGACCCTTTTTTTTTTAGCCCAGTGGCACCCATATTAAACTTCCAGCCTCTAGAATTGTAAGATAATAAATTTTCATTGTTTTGAGTCACTAAATTTGTGGTTATTACAAAAGTGACAGAAAACAAATACAGTTAACATCCTTACAGTGTCTCAGTATAATGCCAACTAGAACTTACCACTGGCCATCATATCTGAATACCCAAATCTATATAAGTGGCTAACACCTAAACCAACTTGTTGAGAGCCACAGTTTAGTCAGAATGACGCCTGGCATTTTTGCCAGAGGGAATGGTTGAAAGGTGACCCTGCTCCAGGATTAGGGTGGATCCTGCTGGGAATAGGGCGGATCCTGCTGCCTTAGGCGCCACTACTTTGAAGTTCCCAGGCGTTCTGAGAGAATCGGTGTGTGTAGAGTGCCGGTGAGAGTTCAGGAATAAAGAGTTGCTGTTTGTTTGGGCTGGGGATGTGGCTCAAGCGGTAGCATGCTCCCCTGGCATGCGTGTGGCCCAGATTCGGTCCTCAGCATCACATACAAAGATGTTGTGTCCGCCGAAAACTAAAAAATAAATATTAAAAAAATTCTCTCTCTCTCTCTTAAAAAAAAAAAAAAAAGAAAGAGTTGCTGTTTGAACCTACAAGGCTTGGTGGCGGCTCGGTTATTTTGTACCCAGCCAGACTGCGGCATCAACTGTTAGGGGATGAATTGTCTTCTCCAAATTCATAAGTTGAATTTCCAACCCCTAGTACCTCAGAATTAAATATCACAGTATTTTGAGACGTGACTGAATTGAGACCATTAGGATAGGGTCCTAAGGCAATATGATTGGTGTCCTTATAAAAAGGAACAGGCTGGACATGTAGCTCAGTGGTAGAGAACTTAACTAGCATGGGCAAAGTTCTGTGTTCAATCCGAAGGAGAAGGAGAAGGAGAAGGAAGGACATCCATGGTGCAGAAAGAGGGCACCATCTATAGTCAAAGACAGAGGTCACAGCCTGCAGGCACCTGAATCTTGGACTTCAGCTTTCAGAACTTTGAGAAAATAAATTTCTATTGTTTAAGCCACCCAATCTGTGGTATTTCAGAATATAAAAACATTTACAGGAAAAGGGGTAACTTCAGGCTTATTATTAAGTACCCTCCCTATTAGAAATCAGTGACCTCAAATTTCCTTTCAAACATGCTAATGAGACTTGCTAGTAGAAAGACAATGGAAAAATCCTTCTAAATGCTTTTAGCAAGATATACTTTGTCAGCTTGGCATGGTGGTGCATGCTTGAAATCCTAGCGGCTCTGGTGGTTGAGGCAGGAGGATCCAAAGTTCAAAGTGAGCCTCAGCAACTTAACAAGACTCTGTCTCTAAATAATATAAAAAGGGCTGGGGATGTGGCTCAGTGGTTGAGTGCCCCTGGATTTAATCATCAGTACCCCCCCACCCCAAAATATATAGTTGGTCTTTATAGATGACTTATTGTAAAACCTGCAATTCATGATGTATGGCTGACTGGAGAAAACAAGGGCTCATCATTAAGTTGTGTAAATAATGAGGTATGGGCTGGGGATGTGGCTCAAGTCGTAGCGCACTCGCCTGGCATGTGTGCGGCCCGGGTTCAATCCTCAGCACCACATACAAAGATGTTGTGCCTGCCGAAAATATTTAAAAAAATTCTCTCTCACTCTCTCTCTCTCTCAAAAAAAAAATGAGGTATGAAAAGGCGAAACTGAAAAAGCAAATGACTCCTTTGTTTGAACAAGGTCTCCACATATAAATTCACCAGGAAATTTATCCTTTAATTCTGAACCCAAAATATACTGTAATGAGGAAGGAAAGGGGAATTTTTGGAGTAGAATCTGATCATTTTGGACTTCTCCAAGAAAAGAATGTCTCATTTGTGCCTACT